GTTACTTTAAGTGTGCTCACAACAACTGCGTTGCAATTTTTTCAACATACCTTACGGTACTTTTATAAATTATTTTCTGAGTAAGCTAGCTGTACTAAGAAACGGTCAAAATAATAGCAGTCGTTCGGTGAGTGTTGGCGCGTTAAGTTCGTTTGCTCTTCTAACAGTCTTTTTAAGAAAAATAATTTTGTTACAAGTAAGATGAACCAAAGTAAAGGAAAGTTAACACATGGTTACTAATTTTTTCCTTACAGTGGGACGAGGAAAGCATTGCACCGAGGAAAAGCGTTTGTTAATTAAAACACTTTTTTTGGAAGGTAAAACATACAAAGAAATTCAAAGTTTGATCGGTTGTTCAGCTAAAATGGTTTCAAATGCATTGAAATTTAAGGAGAAAAAGGAAACTCGCGGAAGAAAGCCCATTATGTCTTCACGAAGTGTGACTCGATTGGTACGACATAGCCAAAATAAGCCTTTGCTGACAGCTATCGAGCTGAAGACAGAATTAAAAATAGAAGCAAGTGTAGAAACAATTAGAAGAAGGTTAAGAGAAATTGATTTGTATGCTAGAAGCCCACGAAAAGTGCCGTTAAAGAAAAAATGTCACCTTACACACAGATTGCGTTTCGCGCAAGAACGTTTGGAGTGGCCTATTGAAAGGTGGCGCAACATACTCTGGTCCAACGAGAGTAAAATTGTACTTTTTGGCGGAAGGGGCACGAGACAGTATGTAAGGCGAAAACCCAATACCGAATATGACCCCCGAAACACATTAAATACCGTCAAACATGGTGGGTCCAGTATCATGATTTGGGGCTGCTTTTCTTATTATGGTGTAGGCCCTATATACCGCATAAATAGCATAATGGATAGTCGTAAATATGTTGAAATACTTAATACTGTAATGTTGCCTTATGCCAGAGAAGAGATGCCAATAAAGTGGGTCTACCAGCAAGACAATGACCCGAAACACACCAGCACATTAGCGAAACAGTGGTTTCGGGCGAATAGGGTTGAGGTCATGGATTGGCCAGCGCAATCTCCAGACCTCAATCCTATTGAGAACTTGTGGCGAGATATAAAACAGGCTGTTTGGAGTGCAAAACCGACCAACAACAACGATCTTTGGCACGTAGTTGAACGTGCACGGTATGCCATACCAACTGAGAAATGCAAAAATCTGGTGGATTCGATG